TTATTGAAGTTATGAAGGTTGAAGTATGACAGTGAATTTAAAAGATGTGAATATGGTGACCAAGCTCAAGCCCAAACCCCATCAGATCGGTAGGCTAAGTTGCTGTGTTTAGTTAATGGAACTATTGCTGCATGTGCCCAGTCAGCCTCCAAAGGTACAAAATCTACATGCCATTTTGTAAACCCTTAATGGATCACAATCACGTTTCACAAATAAATAGTCCAGCAACATCAACTTTTTGTTTATCCTTTCCTGTTGTTTGAGAATAATTTATTATTATTATTGTACATATTTCATGCATCACTGTTTTCATATATATATATATTTTTTTCATCATCATTATCATCCTTCTTTTCCTCCTTTTTCTTCCTCCTCCTCCTCCTTTGTTAATTTCATTGCTTTAGTTTTTGTTATTTGTATTAATATTGATGATGATGGTGATTGATGATTGATAATGATGTGATGGTGGTGGTGATGATGATGAATATTATTATCATTTTATTATTATTATTATAATTTTATTATTGTTATTATAATTTTATTATTATTATTATTATTAATAATGTTTTAATTTATGATTACTATAACTTATTCTTATTGTTTTTATTGTTTAATGTGTAAGTCACAGAACATACACTTTACATGTGCACTATTTTATGTTCTGATTAATTTACATGCATGACAAAATAAAGACACTGTTTATGCATGACAAAATAAAGACACTGTTTATGAAAATACTGAAATAGTATGATATTTGCAGGATAGCTACAGTTGGTTTTGAAATATTAGATTCATAAAGAAGGATAAGTAAGGAAGGTCAGAGGTTGGTGAAGGTATAGGTGTCAGAGGTAAAAAATGGTGTGAAGAGTCAGTGTTTGGGAATGATGTTATGACAATTTCACACAATCATACTTGACAAGGTGTAACACTACATGATCAACAGCATGGTAGTGATGTCAGGAAGTACCAGAAACATTACTGATTTCAGAGGTCATTTCCAGACTTTAATGAACAAAAGAACTCTGAATAGAAAGAGACAGTTCAGCTTCAACTGAATTTGATAGAAATATCAAACCATGAAACGGAAGTGCAAGTGCCACCACTAATGAGTTCAGGGTTAGAGTGATAAAAGAAATAAAATATGGAAAAGCACCAGGAGAGCATGAAATTGTAATGGAATTAGTAAAAGTAGGAGGGGTGGCAACTCTCCAAAGAATTAATGAATTTAAAAAGGCAACTGAAAGGGAATGTGTTACTGAGAAGTGGAAGAATGCCATTATCAACTTGATATTTAAGAAACAAAAAAGGCTTAGTTAGCTACATACTGATTAGCTTGTCTATGTTAACTGTTTATGAAAGTAATAAAACATTAAATTTCAAGCACATAAGATGAACCACTCCAAAGTAGCATAGAGGAAAGGTTATTCAACAATATACATTATTATTATTAGAAAAATAACAGTATGGAATACCACTCTGCAGGGCATTCATAGACTATGAGAAGGTTGTTGATTCCATCAAGCATGAAACAGTATTCAGAGTCCTTAAAATCTCAAGGCATACAAAACGAATATGTTTATAATATTAAGGAAGCATAAAGACAAGTTAGTGTACAAATATTAGTGGATCATCTGAGTGATGAAATAGAAATATGAAAAAGTTTTACGCTGTCATCAATTCTATTCATGGCCTCTTAAATAAATCTTCAGAAAAGCTTATCAGAACCATGGAAGAGTAACTTAAACATTTGTGGACAACAATCATCTTAGCCAATAGAAGGGAGAAGTTTCAGGAAATGCTAATATCTTTGAATGAGGAAGACAAGATGGATAGCATGAAAGTATATCAAAGACAAAAGGATAGACATGGAATTTGAGTAATTAATGATGATAATTGAAGGAAGTGAGGGATTATAAATAATTAGAGAAGGTAATTAATCAGAGAACAGTAGGGAAACAAAGAAATCTGTAAATAACATATGGATGGAAATTACAACACTTTTTTGAAACCCTTATTTACCTGAAAAAGAAAAATAATGAATGCAGTCATTCTGCCTTCTATGACATGGAGCAGAAACTTGAGGTTGACAAAGACAAGGAAAACCTGGCATTGGCTCAAAGTATGGAAAGATCAGTTGCTGAAATGTCAAGAAGACATAGAATTACAAACCAAATTGTAAGAGATCAGCAAAATTGTGCTATAAATAAAATCAAAAAGCTGTTTGGATACTATTCGGGGCACTTGGCGAAAAATGAAACCTTTTAGATGAGTAAAGAAGCTATCAGAGTGGATGCTGACATTCCAAAAGATCAAGGTTAAGGGCAGAAAATAATGGCTAGTAGTAAAAAAGAGAGCTGACAAGAGGTGGATGAGATGTGATCAGAATAGAATCCAGTGGAAGGGTTTGTTGAGGCCACCTGCCTCTGAAATTATTGAAATTATTGGAAATTAATCACTAGGAAAATTATTTATTTCTCAGTCTTCTTTTCAGGTCACATGAAAAGAGACAGTTAATCTGTATGTGTTGCAAGACGAAATTCCTGTAGGAGCAACTTAAATATAATATATTTATGTGGAAATAATCCTTTCAGCTGTGTTTGCAACAGAATATTTTGTAAATTTGTAACATGGGCAAAAAGTGTTATTTTGTAGCATCAGATTTGGGATAATTGGCCCAAAGATAAGGTTACGTTACGTTTAGGTTTAAGTTAGGTTAGGTTTACGTTTAGATTTAGGTTTAGGGTTAGGTTAGGTTTACATTTAGATTTAGGTTAGGTTTAGGGTTAGGTTAGGTTACATTTTGGGTTAGGTTAGGTTTATGTTTAGATTTAGGTTTAGGGTTGGGTTATGTTATGTTACATTTAGGTTTAGGTTTAGGCTAAGGTTAGGTTAGGTTAATTTTAGGTTTAGGGTTAGGTTAGGTTAGGTTAGGTTAGGTTTACGTTTAGATTTAGGTTTAGGGTTGGGTTAGGTTAGGATATTTTACATTTAGGTTTAGGTTTAGGCTAAGGTTAGGTTAGGTTTACGTTTAGATTTAGGTTTAGGGTTAGGTTAGGTTTATGTTTAGATTTAGGTTTAGGGTTAGGTTAGGTTAGGTTTATGATTAGATTTAGGTTTAGGGTTGGGTTAGGTTATGTTATGTTACATTTAGGTTTAGGTTTAGGCTAAGGTTAGGTTAGGTTAAGTTTACGTTTAGGATTAGGTTAGGTTTAGGTTTATGTTTAGATTTAGGTTTAAGGTTAGGTTGGGTTAGGTTAGGTTTATGTTTAGATTTAGGTTTAGGGTTGGGTTAGGTTAGGTTAGGTTTAGGTTTAGGTTTAGGTTTAGGCTAGGTTAGGTTTAGGCTTAGTTTAGTTTAGTTTAGGAAAGGGAATTATTTATCCTTTCAGTTGTATTTACAACTGAATATTTTGTAAATTTGTAACAGGAAAAGTGCATTATTTTGTATATCAGATTTGGGATAATAGGCCCTATGGAAAGTTAGGTCAGGGCTGGGTCAGGTTAGGTTAGGAAATTATTTATGCATTCAGCTGTGTTTACAGCTGAATATTTTGTAAATCTGTAACAGGCAAAAGGTATTATTTTGCGTATCAGATTTGGGATAATAGGCCCCTAAGGTTAGGGCTGGGTTAGGGTAGGTTAGGTTAAGGGAAAAGGTATGAATGAAAATGAATATCTTCACAGTGCAAGAGTCATTTAACCGGTTTTGATTACAACTCATACCTTTTCTATAGTGGTAAACATTCTGAAACTATCAGTATCCAGAATGTGATGAAATGCAGGTATTTGCTTCTCTGTTAGGAAGCATATTCGGCCATGGAATAAAAATGGTAAACTTTTAAGGAAAGCAAAATGAATACTTCGTTTGATGAAGTGAAATAGATAAATACTGAATTATATGTACATAATGAAACTCTTACATGATTTTGTTGAGTGCTAGGATACTAAAAAGTTTATTGGTTTTCATACTTGGAAATCATTCCGTTTGTATGCAGTGAAAAAAATATGAAATAAGTAATTAATCACTTACTGTTTCACTTAACAAGGAACATTTAACCTATGTTCCTTCTAGAGATTTGTGAGTTGAGAAAAGAAATTGAAAAATTAAATGGTTTGTCTTTTATGTAGGTACTTTAATGCTAAAGTAAAGATAGTGTTATTTTCTGTAAAACTTCTGTAGTGTAGTCAGAAATAATTGAGACTACACCCATGGAAAGCAAAAGGAAGCTACAGATTAACCATGGCTGCTATACATTGCTTCCAAACGTATCGTTATTTATGTGTAAGATTTTTTTTTCGCAGAGACGGCATATTAACTCTTCAGTTTGAACTTCACTGCCAGAGAGTTTAATTTGGTATGTATGTGGATAAGGAGCAGTAATTATGTTGGTGTGTAGGTAAGTGCATTGCCATGGAGCACCCAATTACCATGAAGCAATTCAACTTTTATGTTTTGCAGGTCGTCTTCCCTCAGGTGTCTCAGGATAGTAAAGCAGACAAGGTATGGGCAGTCCAATCAAATCTAAATAAACTCCCCATACCCACTGCATTTGTTGTGAAAGAAATGCAGTGGGTGTGGGTAGTCCTAGAGCTCCATAGTATATTTTACCAAGCCAAAAAATAATCTATTCACCCACATCCGCCTCCACACACCCAGTGGTATCAGAGGTACTTCTTGGTATTTTATCTTATTTTGCTATTTATACTTCATGATACATGTAGTTGCATGTACATATAAATTTGCTTAAAAAATCATTCTACTAACGTATTCATATATCCCCACGGTTTTATAGATGCAATCTTGGAACTATGTTATCGCCTCATACTTTATGATACTTGGCGCGTAGGTCACATAATAGACACAAGGCAAATTGCCAAGCACTCCCAGTACCAGCAAGCAATCATCTTTCCCAAGAAAATATGTTTTGAACCGCATACCGTCCACGGCTCCAAGGCCTTCAAACCATAGTTCTTCAGGGGGATGAAATAAGTGAAGATGATAAGTCATATGGCATTTGTTCTTTAATGATGTAACATATATACATACATTTACAAAAAGATGGATCTGTCCAGCAGAATTAGTTATTTTTGTGGAGCATTGTCATCTTCAAGAAAAGTAGGTAATAACAATGAAAAGTTGACAGGCATTACACGTAGGGGGGGGGGTGGAGAGATGGTAAGAAGGCTATTATTGCATTTAGTAAAAAGTCAATAGCATGTGCAACATAGCAATGACCAATGAGTGATATAATATGAATTGAATGGAATTATTCTGATGAAAATGCACAATACGGTGTCAAATATATGATTGCGGATACTATCTTATAATTACTTAATATTAACAGGTTTCTAAAGTGCTACAGAAATAGAAATCACAACAATATCAAAACTAGAGAAATTGAGAATGTTTATTTTCTTGTTATTTTATACTAACAGAAAAAATAAATAACATTTGTTCATGTGTAAACACTACAACAATAGGCATACCTTAAACTTATTACAAAGAAGTAGTTCCAGACCTTAGATTACAAGTGAACATAGCAAACGTAAGTCTTGCTGCATATGCTGACTATGAGGCCTGTTCATTTCTACATACTGGTATCACAGTGATCTGCCACGCACAGCATAGCAGTACCCTTATATCATGTTTGAGTGGATCCAAGGCAAGAATTCTGTAAGTCTTGTGTAGACACCCGGATGGCCTGGCTCTGCGCAGCGAATGGCAAACGAAACGATGCCAATCTGAATCCAGTTTCCATTGATATAGAGCTGCAGAGGGCCGCCGCTGTCACCCTGCAGATGAATAAAGGGATTTTTCATGTTTTCGTAAGCATGAATTGCCGTAAATAGCAAAGGTTCCCCTTTAAAGTTCGTAATGTCAAATCATATTTAGTTTCTGAACATGACCAAAATGCAGGAAAATTTTACATTTGTACAACACTCAATAACGAAGAAAATTAAATATAAATATATACACTGTTCAAAGGAAAAGAATATAAAAAATAAAGCTCTAGACATCTCAGACGTCCTCACCTGGCAGGCATCGCGACCGCCCTCCGTGAAGCCGGCGCAGATGAAGGCGCTGGTGATGGGCTGTGTGTAAGCTTCGTCGCAGTCGCTGTTCTTCCAGACCGGGACCTGGACCTCGCGCAAGACCGCACTCTCGTGGCCACCTGCGGAGGGTAAGGGTTATACTTCCTCTTCTTTAGATCTTTTCTTCTTCTAAAGATTTAGTGTGATGGATTTTGAGATATTTGCGCATGGAATAGAGTTTGGCATTATTTGTATTTTCTTTATAATTTATGATATGTTGCATATACAGATATTTAACTGACATGATCCTTTAAATTCCTCGACTGAACCAGTGTGTTTATTAACACTGCTAGTATGTTTAGTACATGAGGTGTTTTTGTATCCATGTTAATTACACAAATAATATTATAGTAGACCACCTTCCTTCAAAAGTAGACTCACAAATGAAACGAATTAACACACGTTCTTGGCTTCTGTTTCTCCCAGCTACTACAAGTCTGTGATAATTTAGCTCATCAACATACAACCCTTGCAAATAAATCATTGAACACCATGTATTCCTCATCAATTTCCCACACAGAGAAAAGTGAAAACGCACACACGCACACTCGCTCAAAAGGAGACCTCCCAAAACTTTTTCTTTTGTTTCTTCAAAAGGAAACCCAACCATCAAAACAAAACACATTCCTTCCCGCATTGCGATGATCCACATGCGTCCTCAGACTCCACCTACCGTAAACCGTGGATCCCCAGCCGATGACCGAGGGCGTCTGGCCAACCATGTGGTCCAGGGGCTGCCGCGCCATGTCCGCCGGGGGGAGGCACACCGGCAGGATGTATTCTGTGAAGTCGACGGGCCGGTCGAGCTTCAGGAGCGCCACGTCGTTGTAGAAGCCGTGAGAGATGAATTCGGGGTGAGGCCGGATGGACAGGACCCTGGGGGGGGGGGAGAGGGAGGTGGTGTGGTGAAGGGGGGGCGTGTCTAGCCCTAATCTGCCGGAGTTTACCTTAATTTATCTTGCTTTGCTTCCCCTTGCCTGTTCTTAACTTAAACCTAACCTAAAACGGGTGTGATCTCTAATCCTAGAACATTACCGGAAACCTTTTCATATCCTAATCCTATATCTTTAACTTTAAACTCTAGTCTTAACCTAAATTCTACCTACAACCCTAACTCTTATCGAACTATAGAGTAAATCAGAATAGGTTAGGAAACCCAGATGATGAAAACTTCGACTTTTTAATCTTTTTGTATTTTAGTTTCCCTGTTAAATCGCCTTCATTGAAGTATTTTTGTATAATTTGTTATTAAGTTTCGAGTGTATATTGGTCGGTCACACTTTGGATGTTGTAAATTCAATCATAAATGTACAGAGATAGCTTTCCTAGACTTTGTTCCCTTTGGAATGAAACAATCTAGCACAATAAAAAGGGATTTTAAAATTACTCAATTATTGTTATAACTATTTACATCATGCTTTAACAAAAAAAAAAAAAAAGATTCATATAGCAAATGTAACCAATTTACTTCTATGTGTCGATGAATGATATTACTAAAACGTGAAACCTTTTTTTTAATTCTCAATAATAGTATTTGCAGACCTGTTGCTGAGTGACTGACCCAGGTAACAACTGGTAATGATTCCTTTACCTGTATGTTTGTGGGTTGGAAATGAAGTCGTCACTCTCACTGAAGATGTTGTGGTCTCCAAGGCGCACGCTGAACTGCTGGGCATCAAATCTGCAATCCATAAAAAGGCAGGGATGTGTGAAGAGATGTGATGAATGGCAGGTACAGTCACGGTAAAAAAATCTTGTCAAAACAAGTGTCGAATTCCGTCTCGAACACTCATATAATCTGCTTTGTTGTTTTTGGAAGGAGGCTTTTGACGTTTCATTCACGGCACGATTCTTGTCCGTGACTCTACAGTAAGATACTTTTATTACAGTAAGTACTTTTTCAGTGACTAAGGCTCCTCAGATGGGAATGGCAAAAAGGACGTTCCCACCGAAATATGCATATGGTTTATTGGACCGTATTATCATGCTTTATATTTCATTATAATGGCTATGCTTATGCCTGTTTTAATTAATGATAATGCCAAGTGATATACGGAGGAACCCCGATGGATTCCTGCAAACATTTCGTCGTGAATCGTAAAGTAAGAGAGTAAGAGCAGGAGAAAGGCATACCCAGAGCACAAAAGGGAACAGCACCAAACACGGGCACAAAACCGAGACAGGCAAATCCACTTGAACACAAAAGCGGCCCAAGAAGTCTCTCCTTACTGTAAACCCCTTGGAGATTTCCCACAAGAGACCCTCAACTCACGTCTTCCCCCGCGTGTCCTTGGTGCAGTGAGCGGCGGTGAGGACGTACTGCTTCGAGATGAGAGATCCTCCGCACCAGAACACCGTCTTCTTGGGTCCGTGCAACCAGACGGCGGCGATCCAGGGCCACTGGCCTCTCCGGGACTCGTCGCCGCCAACCACACGGAAGGTCGGGATCTTCGGCTGCCCGCACTCTGGAGGGCGCGGCGGGAAGAGAGGGAGGCATTAGGGGGAAAGAAGGGCGGAAGAGAACGCGGGAGAATGTAAGATGAAGGGCAGTGGAGCGTGCATACTTAATGCCATACCTGATGTCATGATGGCTTTTGTAGGATCTTGCTTTGTTATGCAATTTGTTTTGCCACTGGAAGTGATTTTCTCAAAGCATGTATGTTTAAAAAAGGGAAATATCTTACCAAAGTTGGGCCGCGCGACCTCTGCGACAGGCTGTATGGGAACGGGGCGAGGCGAGGTTCCAGGCACCTGCCGGCAGAGCTCGCTTTTAACAAATTACCAAGTTACTCTGTGGCTAATAACTTGAATGAATGCAGATTGCAAGGAATTCGGTGTTAGTCGCGAATTGGAACATGAAGTGGTTCCTCACAATAACAAAATATTTACTGTCGTGAGTACTCACAGGAGGCAGTGGCCGAGGCGGCTGAGGCGGGAGTGTGACAGGCCGGGGGCGGCTGGTGGGGCGCGGGCGGCTGGTCACGGAGGACGGGCTGTGCACGCTGTTCGGGCTGTCGGAGGAGGACACCGGGATGTTACGCATGCATGACATCGGATTTTTACGACACTTTCTCAAAGATTTCACTGGCAATCTGACAGATTTCAGCGCTGGAAACGAAGCACTGTATAAGGACAAAAGCAACAGATCTTACTCCAGGTCCTTGATAGGACAGCAGACACCAGGGACGAAGAGGCTCTTGAAGCAGACGGACTTGCGCAAGTTCGTGAGGTCGAGGATGAGGTCCGGGCAGTCGCTGAGGTCCTTGCAGAGGCCGGCCTCCCCCACGGGCGTTGTGCAGCTGCGGGCGGAGTCGTCCCTCTCGACGTCCGTGTTGGGAAGGTCTATGACAATGCGGCCATCGCCGAGCGAGACTGCAGGGATAGTTTGTCCAACGACATTAGAGACGGACTTGGCGATGGGCGCCAGGGCGTCGGTCAGGTTGTGTCCGAGGACGTGTCTAGAGAGGGTGTAGGCGCCGTTGGTCACGACCTGGGAGAGGGCGCCGCCCACTGTCTGGGGCGGAGTCTGTAGTTGGTATGAGTATTGCGAGTAGTCTGTGGGGTAGTCCGGGGGGTAGTGTGCGTCCGGGTACTCCGGCACGTACTGAGGGCCTCGGGAGGAATCGCTCGTGTATTGGGAAAGCACGTAATCGTGGTAGTCTTGGTCAGTAAAGGCGTCGCTGTTAGTATTGCGTGAGTTGAGGTTGTTAATGGCACCCGCTAAACTGTTCAGGCCGTTGTTAATGCCCCCGTGGATGTTATTGGCGATCGTCTTGACGCGCGTGTGCCGCTGCTCGCCCAGGACCTTGGAGCTGAGGCGGTCGATGCCCTTCGCCGTGGACTTGGACACGGCGTCGGCGCTCTTCTGGATGGTGGCCTCGAGCACGTCCAGGCCGTGGTTGATGAC